TAAGATTATTTTTATCTATCAATTGGTATATAAAGGAAATACGTATGATATATGCTATTTTCAAAAATTTGAACTGATAGCCCTAGCTGGGTTGGCTCAGTAGATAGAGTGTTGGCCTGCAGACTCAAGGGCCTGGGTTTGATTCTGGTTAAGGGCACATGCCCAGGTTGCAGGCTTGATCCCCAGTAGGGGGCATGCAGGAGTCAGCCAGTCAATGAGTCCCTCTCATCATTGATGTTTCTATCTCTCCCTCTCCCTTCTTCTCTGAAATAAATAAAAATTCATATTTTTTAAAAACGTTTTAACTGACAACGTAATTTAACAATTGGACCAGTAATTAACAGAAAATTGTTTTCTTCACTGCTTGATGCTGAACTTGATAGAAATGCTTTTTGTCCAATGCTTTCTTGACCTTGAAAATTACTTATGTTTGTTTATATGTAAACTAGGACCCAGTGCACAAATTTGTGCACCTTGAAAGTAACTGTGGGCCACGAGGCTGGTAGGCACAGGGGCAGGTCTCGGCCCATCCTCCACACCCCTGCAGCCCCTCCTGCTGCGACCTCCTGTCCCCTGTATCCCAACAGCCCCACCCACTCCTGCTGCCCCTGCTCACACCCACTGACAGTGCAGAGCCATTGAGGCTGGTGCCAGCAGTGGGTGCGAGTGGCAGCTGCTGCCCCGATAGCCCCTCAGGAGCAGGGGGAGGTGGAGAAGCCCTCAGGGGTGATCAGAGCCAGCAGCCACCACTTGCATCTGCTGATGGCACCAAGTGATTGGGACTGGTGCCAGGCACCAGCAGCAGATGCGAGTGGCAGCTGCAGCACCGGCTGTGGGTGTGAGTGGGGCCAGCACTGGCAGTGGGTGCGAGTGGCAGATCCGGTGCTGGTGGCAGGTGAGAGTGGGGTCGATGCTAGCTGCACATGTGATCACCAGGTGGGACCACAGCACGTGGGAGCAAAGAATTTTCAGTAACCACCAGAGGTTCGCCCCGATTACAGTGACCGGTGGCCCGCCTTGGTCTGGTGCCCCCACTCACCTGCTCCACTATTCCACTTCATGGCTGACACCTGCCATGTTCCGTGCACGCCCTCTGGTGGTCAGCACACATCATAGTGACCAGTTGTTCGGTTCGGTTGTTCTGGATGTTCTGCCGTTGGGTCTATTTGCATATTAGCCTTTCATTATATAGGATTATATATCTTAATTTTTAAATGTATACTTTATATTTAAAATTATAGACTAATCATGCTAAGCTTTAAAATTTATCCTAAATGAGATATTGCAAATAATAATAAACAAAGTAGAAAAAGCCTTACATTTGGCACTTATTGTGCATATTCATAATTAGGAGGCTACATCCCATAAATGAATAGTCCACTTCCATTTCATAGTTAGGGTCTTTTAATTTTTATCTAGTCAAGTAAAAAATAATTAATAGAGCCTTAGCCAGTTTGTCTCAGTGGATAGAGCATCAGTCTGCGGACTGAAGGTCCCAGGTTCAATTCTGGTCAAGGGCACATGCCTGGGGTTGCTGGCTGGGTCCCCAGTAGGGTACGTGCAGGAGGCAGCCGGTCAATGATTCTCTCTCATCATTGATGTTTCTATCTCTCTCTTCCTGTCCCTTCCTCTCTGAAATCAATAAAAATATTTTTAAAAAATAATTAATAGAAAATTAAACTACCATATTCTTCATAAATAATAGGTATTTGCTATAGTAGCTCTGTTATAAATTATTACAAGAATCAAATTGTGAAATATTATATAATGGGTCAAAATTATTTTTATAACTACCAGTATAAGGATCAAGCATGTGGGTTCTTATTAATATACCATTAGCCTGGTCACACAAAGAAAGAGAATGAAAGGGCAATTATGAATGACATTTTTGTCAACTTTGGACCTGTCAACCTCTATTATGCCCTTAGGGCTTTGCACTTTTTGGATTTCAGACATCATGCTGCCTCGAATGGAGGAGAATACTAAGAACTCCAGTGGATCTCTTGCTCTGATCATTGCTTTGGGTAGTCCTTTTTCAGTGTGCTCATGTAATAGTGCTTAGTGCTAAAAGCACAGCCAGTGACCTTTCACCCCATCAGCACCACAACTGCATCATCTTCAGGGACACCACCGTCTTCTCTCTACCATTTCCTCTGAGCTGGTAAATCTCTGTAGCAACTCTGCGAACATATTCGCTCCTCTCTATTCTTTCTGCACAGTCAAGTGGAACAGCCACCTTCAGTTTCTCTAAGCATCCCCTCAAAACTTCTGCAAGAGTTGTGATGCTGTCAGAGGAAGTTTTCAGGCTGTCATGACAAAAGCTAGTGGTTTCACACAGAAGGTAGTGAGCAGGTGCGACGTTTGAAGGGGGAAAAGTGCCTCGACTATTTACAGCTGCATAGCAAACAGTCAATGAAGCTCCCTTCTGACAGGATATTTTGGCGGAATTTCAGGGAGAAAATGTGGATTCTAGTCCTTATTGTCTCACCGAATCTCAGTAGCATTTATTTTATTATGCACATGCATATTTTTATTTATTATTATTAGCATGTAATGTTATGTTCTGATAAAAAAAAAATTAAGGATTGAGTTACTATCACATCATCTTTAATGTTACCTCCTTATACTGAGGAAGTTTTTTAAAGGGGTTTGAAGCCAATACGCATATATTTTAATAATCTCCCTGTATATTATATAAGGCAGTGTCACTCAAACATTAGTGTGCATCAGAATCACCTGGGAATGCTTGTTAAAACACAGACTGCTGGAACCCACCTCCGAAGTTTCTAAGGATAAAGAATTTGCCTTTCTAACAAGTTCCCAGGTGGTGCTGGTGGTGCTAGTCCACAGACCACATTTTGAGACAGAGTCATTCATACTGGAGGAGGGTAAAAAAGGGAAAACAGTACCCCTGGGTTTTTGCCAACCATAGCATCATATATATGGATTTTGGCTGACCAGCCCAACTAAATGTTCAAATTGAAAAATGGAGGGATGATTTTGCCCCAGTACTTTTAAAAAAGCTAAAGTAAACTTTTTAAAAATATATTAAGCCAGTCGTGGAATTATCTTACTTCACTTTTTTACAAAATTCTATGAATCCATAAAAATTTGGTATAATGGTCATTAACTACTTATGCATCTAACATGACCCCATATTGCCATTGAATTATCTCATGGATTTTCAGGTAACTGTTCTTTTCTCTGAAACAGAAAATTAGAATTGAAAAAAAAAAAAAGTTATCCATTTTCCCTAGCCTGTTCATAGGTTTCGTAAGTGCAGCTAACAATAAAATCTAACAATAAACCACTTTAAAATATAAATTAGAAATAGATGTTATATTACACCATTTTACCATTTTTATAAAGTGCATTGTTCCAGTGTTTTTTAGTAAATATATACATAAAATTTTGTATGCATTAATTAACATGTTTATTAACAGGTTTCAATGTCACACCATTTGATTCAAACTGTTCCAATTTTGACAAGTTATCCTGCTACTACTGGTAGATATTTTATGTACCTAACTCATGAAGATTAAACAGTAGCTAAGTGGAAACTATATATATATTTAAATATATTTTATTGATTTTTTACAGAGAGGAAGGGAGAGGGATAGAGAGTTAGAAACATCAATGGGAGAGAAACATCAATCAGCTGCCTCCTACACACCTCCTACTAGGGATGTGCCGGCAACCAAGGTACATGCCCTTGACCGAAATCGAACCCGGGACCACTCAGTCCACAGGCCAATGCTCCATCCACCCAGCCAAACCGGTTAGGGCTGTATATATTTTTTAAATCCTCACCCAATGATATGTATTTTTTTTTTTTGAGAGAGAGAGAGAGAGAGAGAGAAATTGATGTGAGAGAAACATTGATTGATTGCCTCCCATATGCACCCTAACTGAGGATGGAACCTGCAACATTTTTGATGTACGGGACAATGCTCCGACCAACAGAGCCACCTGGCCCGGGAGGAAGCTATATTTTTATTCTATAATAATACTTATGTAAAACTGGATATAATTTAAACAATAAGATACAAGCAAATTATGCAATATTTTAATTTTAGAGCATAGAAAAGTAATAACTTTTTGTTTGTAATGAAAAAAGCAATGTCGTGTCTGACTCTTATATATTGCAATAAAAATTTAAGTGATAATTGTACTCATAAGGGCTAATATGGATAGTTATAATATAAAATGTGAACTATGCAAACTTGACCTGTGCAAGCATAGAACAATTGAAAATCACGATACCTGCTGAACTGACCACATACAAACCTTTATACCACCATGTAGTGCACTGTAAGGAAAATATATAAAACAAATTTGGATTTTAAAAAATGTAATGTTAAATGTTTAGAACATTGTTGCACATAAATAGTACATATTAATAAAATGCTAATTATATTGTTTCAATTTTTTATTAAACCAAAAAGTGCTCCTAGGAAACTTAAGAAAAGGGGTTATTTTCTAACAATTAGAAAGTTATATTTTTCTTTTTTGTATTTAATTTGGGGAGCAGTTCTGATCAGAGCTACACACCATTTCACTCCTCCATCATGCATGTTCCAGGAACTCTATTTAAGCACCAGGCTACAAAGATGCTTGGGACTCAAACCCTGTTCTCTGGAGGTTGGATAAAAGCTATCTACATCATAATTTTATATGAACAATGTATTGTCTCTCAATAAAAATGAATAGTACAAATAATAGCTCTTTCAGAATATTTCTTACAGGTGACATCAGTTATGTGCTTTCTGGATAGTTGAGTGTACTTATCCTTTATCTAATACAAAAGGTGTTTCATAATATGCAGTTCACAGTGACGTTTTTGACAGTTGACCAAACATTTGTGATGTTCAGATTGAATGCTAATATCACTGATTGGTAGAGTAACTTGCTGGGAAAGGACAGGCACTCTACCTGTGTTTTTCTAGGCATTTGTAATCAGCTTTTCCTTATCACAACTCATGTTCTAATGATCATTGCAGGATGAAGTGGCACAGCCACTGAACCTATCAGCTAAACCCAAGACCTCTGATGGCAAATCACCCACATCACCCACCTCTCCCCATATGCCAGCTCTGAGAATAAGCAGTGGGGCAGGCCCCCTCAAAGCCTCAGTCCCAGCAGCATTAGCTAGTCCTTCAGCCAGAGTTAGCACAATAGGTAAGTTCTGTTTCTTTTGTTCTTGCTGATTTTCTGTTTGTGGCAATTGAATTAAGTCATCTTTTAATGGCAAATCACACATACCCTGTGCATGGCTTTAGTTCCATACGAGAGTTCCAATTTGATGAGCCTCATAGGTCTGTTTTAACGTGCAATTGGAATTTGTAACTGAACTCCAAGTTATAATTTCCCCCTGAAAATCAAATTGAACTGCTTATGTTTGTTGCTATAACTGATGTTCCTAAGTTATATAAAAGAGGCCTAATGTCTAATCACAGAGAGCAGTGGTTCCAGAATGCTATTGTCTGGTGACTTGCCTTTTCCATCACTGAAATTTATTTTTATATTTTTTGATGTGTACAGAGTATACATAATAATGAAATACCTTCTGCCTGGTCTAGCAGTCAACCATCAGGATGTGAAGTTTGTTTAGTTCCACACCACTTGAAATTTACCTGAATATATTAAAAGTATTATAAAAAGTTGATAGCTTCATTTCTCCAAATTTGTCATTTCAGTAGAGTAGCCAAACACTAGAAAATGTTTCTCATATGTAATACTTTCAACAATAAAGATTTAATTTTTAAAAAAGAAATGCTTCTATAAGCTTTTAAAATTTTTAATAGTTTGTATTTTAGTAACATAAATTAGATAGCACTTAGCTAATCACGCATTTATTAAAATGTTTGTCATTTGTATATAGTTATGAGGAGGCTAGCACAGACCAATCCTCAAGGAGCTCAGGGTTTAATTGGGGACAGGGGGAATCATCCTACAGCACACGTCAGCCATAGTAAGTAATATTCCAGAGCACAGTTACAATCCTTTGGTCATAAAGAGGAGAGTGTTGAATTCTATTTGGGAAGGATCAAGGGATGCTAAGCTGGGGATAATCTATTTCAAATGGAGCCTTGAAGAAGAGTTATAGCCCTAGAAATTTAGACTGTAAAAAAACCCACACAAAAACAAAACAAAACAAAAAAACCCCAGCAAAATAGTACACTTTTGAGAAACATTGATTTGGCTAGATATAAAATGAGGGTGTAGTAGAAAGTAATCAGAGCTAAAACTGAATGGGGCAGGAAAGTTAAAGAACACGAAGAATAAAAACATTAGGATTTAGTTGGAGCTCATGGGTAGGTAGACTCAGAGAGGGGTTAGTACAAGGGTGTAGCAGAATTCTAATTACAACTATTTGAAGAATATGAGGGAAAAAAGAGCAGTTGATATATAGACCAGTCTGTTTGTAAGCTTGATGTTGAAAAGTAATTTTGAGAAGACTGAGTAGTGATGGTTTTAGAATAGAAAAGTCATATTATTTTTCAAAGGGAATAAGAATTGGAGAGCTGTATAGATATAAAAGAGTGCATCAGTGATGATGCAACAACAAGAGATAAGGAGAAAGGATTAACTTTGGAAAGGAGAAAAGTCCATTGTTTTTTCTAAGACTGAAGGAAATAAAGAAAAAAGAAGTAAAGTTGTGAAGAAATTGTGGGATGGATAGAAAGAAAGCTGAAGGGGTGTATTCCAATTGCTTCCATCTTCACAAAGATTCCAGGTTATTTGCCAACAGAAAGTCAGTGTGGGCCAGTGGGGCAGCAATAAGAAGAGAAACAATGAAAACTTAAATTCTGAGAAGTCTGAAAAAGGCTGGGTGCATGTGTGCTTTTTATTATTATGCACCATTCTGTTATGGTCAAACTCTCAGTCACTCTGCTCAACATCCTTAATGGACGCCAAGATAAAGACTTGCTTTCATGTCCTAAGTTGGTAAAAAACAATACTTTATTTGGCAAGAATGATTTATTTCCATAATAGACATGAAGGCTTATCCTAGTAAATATCACAATGTTGGTATATGAGTTACTTTTGTAATATCATTAGAACTAGAATATTAAACTAATGGAATAACTAATGCATTTGCATTTTTAGATGAGGATTTTATACATTAGCATTCCAAAGATTAAGTATAAGAAAATATTTTAGAAAGGCAAGAATATATTTAATGATATTTGTCATCTGACTTTCTCCACTACTAAAACTTCTCTTATTTTGTTCCCTGAAACATCCCTTCACCACACACATATTCCTCATATTTTCCAAGGAGTTGAGGGCACTACAATTTGCTTTTCTCTTTTCAACAAATGGCAGATGTTGAAAGCTGAAACTATAATGAGCAATAATGTAGTTGGATAAAAGCTGTGAGCATTAATGGTGTTGTAAAGGTCACTCCTGAAAGAAGAATTAATGTGTTATGCCATTAATAAAGCATGGAAAACTGTGAACTAAAAGATAACTAAAGGTATCATTAATGACATGGGTTCATTGTTATATACCTACCAGCCATAAATATAGAAAGTGAGTTTTTGAGGTTGGTGACCAATATTACAGTATATTATATAAGTATATTTTTAATATGGTTTGCAAATGATAGGCAGCTCCAAAGAAAGAATCCTTAAAAGCCAGGGAAGATTCAGATGATTGATGGATAATTTTAGAAGCTCTTGACCAGATGTTATCTTTCCCTCATTGGCCGTTTTCACTTACATTGCACATGTATAGAACACTTTTAACTTTTTTCAAAGCATTTTTAATCTATTTTCTCACTGCAGTTAATTTTAGAAGTATAAAGCCTTAACTAGATGGAGCAGATATCCATATCAAATAGTCAAAACTTATTTTACAGATAAAGAACGGAGGCCTACCGTGACTAAGTGCTTACTAGGGATTCTAAGTAAGTTGCTCTCATGGTGTAGATAGCTCTGTGACTCTGTTTATCACCTCTGGTTTAGTTTCAAGGAAACACATACACAGAAACTTAGCAACTTGGCCAACTCACATCCCGTGGAGGTCGAGGCCTTAAAATCAGAGTCCAGGTTGGGATTCTTTATTTTTAGTTATTGCCTATTGGTAGTCTCTCTGTATTACATGCTTTAATCAGGCATCTATTTAACCTTTCACTCATTCATCCAATAGATGGGTATTGAACATCTTCTCTATGCCATACATTTTGCTAAGCCTGGAGGATAAGCAGGTGAAAGAGTTGGACTGAAGCTTAGATGCCATGGTCTTTGTTCTATCATCTCTAAAACATATTATTCTTACTCTTCATTCCTGATGGATAAGTAAAATTTTGCCTGAGCAAATGTGTATACACACACAGATTCAATAAGATGAAGGGAAACACTTTGAGGTCCATTAATTTGGTATTTTATTTCTGCAACTTGCTCATTTAACATATGATGCCATGAAGGAAAATATTAGCTCAAATACATTTACATTTTTTATGAGAAAAACTTTTTCTGAGGGTAAGTAACTGAACAAGAATTGTGTAATAGTTACATAGGTAGCCATTGGATTATTAGGAAGTTAGGGGTATCATTCAACATCTGGCAATTAACATTCACAAAACATTTTACAATTTACAATTTGCATTCATGTTTATTATTCAACTAATTCTTGAGAGATTTCACATGTGAAGAAATAACAAGGTGCCCAAAATTTGATGATGATATGATGTCAAAAATCGTAAAAAATATTAATATGTATTGAAAATAATTTAAAACACCTGGGCCTTTACTTTTACTTATAGCTGAACAACCAAATGTAAAATAAGTATGTACTAAATAAGAATTTGTATTGCCCTGATAGCATTTATTAAGCTCATGAATTTTAATAAATCCATGATATATAGTACAGGCTTCCATTGATATGATGACATAGAAAATCAATGAACTTGGAATTATAAACTGGAAACTTTCAACTTAGAAATATGCATTTATTTCTTCAACAGTCTGCCATGTGCCAAAGGAATAAAAGACTAAAAGGGAAAAAAAATGCCCTCAAGTAGTGAGTTCAGAGACTGGTGTGAAAGACAAGTTTAGAAAACGAGCTACAATGACACAGTAAGAACATTTACAAGGTTTTGAAGGAGCAGATAAATGGGAAGTACTACTGCTGCCAAGGACTATGTCTGGGGTATGTCAGCAAAGTCCTTACAGAAGAGTGACATTTAAATAAATTCCCAAACACACCAGGAAGAGAGAGTATTTCAGTAAAAGACAAGCTTGGGCGACAGAGGTGGGCGGGAGGAGGAAGGCTGTCCTTAGCACAGGAAATAGTTCCGTGCAGCACAGAACTCCTGAGAGACCAGCAAGAAATGACCCGGGAAAGATAAGCAGAGTTGACATCATGAAGAGATGTTTAGGCCATTTTAAAGTGTTTGGAGTTTATCCTAGAATGACGTTTCGTGGGGAGCATTAAAGTGTTTCCTGTTTCAGTATATTTGGGAAAGGCTGCATATTATTGTTACTTCTTGCAGCTCCACGATGCACATGAACATATTCAAGATTTTGAGAATTTGTGCATTGAAGAAACCTTTTTAACTTTCATTAGTCTTTTCCACATTTATTGGAACATGGGGTCATTTTGCTTCACAAAATCATCATCTTATAATGCTCCCTTAAGCATTGGGGTACCAAGAGATGAGCTTTTTTAATCAGGTAAAGTGACATGATCCAAATTCCTTGTTTTGGGATATTTTGCAATGTTGTATCTGCAAGCAGAGTAGGAGATGGATTCAAGGGCGTAAGCCTGAAGATAAGGAAACCAGTTAGGAGGTTATGGCATTAGCCCAAGTGAGCTAGGAGGTGCCTTCAGCAAACGTAGGGCATGTGGGGATCGAGAAGAAGCACATGAGAGAGCGAGGAGCAGACAGAGCTGTCAGGGCTCGGCTGTGGTTGCCTTTTATATGTTTGGGTAAAGGAGGTGTCTTAGATGACTCCCAGGTGATGGCATGGGCACCTGGCATGGGCTATGGGTGTAGAAAGAACAGATTGAGGAAGTGGGAGATGATGAATTCTGTTCTAGATACACTGCGTTTCAGATACTCATGGGACATTCAAGTAGAGAACCTTAGGAAGCAGATGTATGTAACTAGGAATAACGATTTGAGTCAGACAGTAGATATTTCACAGTACCAGGAATCACCCCTTGACTCTTAGGATTATGTTTAGGACCAAATGTGATATATTGAATTCTAAGGCTGATGCAACCAATCACAAACTGGGTAGCTTGAAACAAATTTATGCTATCACTGATTGGAAGCTAGAAATCCAAAGTCAAAGTGTCAGTAGGGATTAGTTCCTTCTGGAATGTCAGGGGAAATCTGTCTCATGCTTCTTGATTAGCTCCTAGTGGTTGCTGGCAGTCCTTAGTGTTCCTTGATTTTTAGATGCAAAATCCAAACTTTGCCTCCATAGTCACATGACCTTCTTCCCTGTGTCTCCTTATGTCAAACTTTCCTTTCTCTCATAAGGACACCAGTCGTTGGGTTAAGGCCCACCCTAAATCAGGGTGATCTCATTTCAATAGAGTCTATTAAGGACTGTATTTCCAAATAAAGTCACATTCACAGATACAGGGGTTAGCCTGAGACAGGGACATTTCCTATTGAGAGACACAACTTAACCCATTACTGGTACTTCCTGCTTTTCCTCCTACCTTTCAATGTTAGTTTATTTTCATTGTGGAGTAGCCATTACTCGCTTTTTCTGTTTAATTTTACCCTTGCTAAGATTGGACTTGCCCATTTTCCCATTTTTTCTGCCTCTGAAATTATATAAAAGGGTCTTTTATAATTTTAAGAATTTTGTTGTTAGTGGTTAAGAAGCAACACTGAGATGCAAAACATCAAGTTGTGGTAAATTTTATAAGATTACAGAATCTGGCGACTCTGGTGATGATTCCTAACCTGTGTTTCCCACATCTCATCTGGGATGCCAACTGGAGCCATACTGGCCTTTGTCCTCTCACTTCCCTCCCAAGATTGAGGTTCACTGAATCTCTCTTAAACACATGCCCATCTTCAAATCTTGCCTGTAGATACAATCGCTGCCTCAGTGTATAATGAAGGAAGAATAAGATGTATCAGGTCATCATTTTGGGTCTTTTTGGACTCTGATGGGGGACTTCGATTTAATTGAACCTCTCTCTCAACAAGAAATGACACCTCCTCTTGGACTTTATCATAACAAGACTGCCGAGGTACACATATCTTGGAAATGAAAGCAGAAAGAAAAATAAATAAATAATGCTTTTTGCTGTCTTCTCAGATATCAAGAGCTATATCCACCTTCACATGTATTATTTTATGTAATTCTTCCATTGAGGTTACATTTATTTTACAGGTGAGGGAAATGGAAACTCAGTGAGATTATTATAATTTGTCAAATATCACATTTTCTGAGAATTAGAAACCAAGATCCATCTGAACCCAATGCCCAAATCTTCTCTGTTTCACTAATGCTATTTGGCAAATGAACCGCCAGTTACAGAATAACTGTCAGGGACCACTTGTGATACTAAAAAAAACCCAGATTAACTCATCTAATCTTCACAACATTTTCATTGTGACCAATGAGACCACTGAGACTTAGAAAAGTGAAATAACTTTTGCAATTTATATAGCTAATAAGTGGCAAAGCTAGGATTTTACTTCAGCATTGTCCAACTCTAAAACACACACTTCTCTTGAGGGTTGAAACCCTGAAGCTCAATCTAAAGAGCAGGAGAAGAAAGGATCCCAGGAAAGGATATATAGATGGAGGAGTCGGAGAGAAGAGGGGATCCCGTGCTATGATGAGAGACAAGGAAGGAAGGCATTTCAATGAGGTGATGGTGAGTGCGGTTATTCTGCAGAGAATGGAAAATGCCCCTTAGATTGGCAATTAAAAGAATACAGCAAGCAGGAACAAGATTGTAACAGGAATGGGAGAGTGAGGAAGGGACAGGAGAATTTGAATCTTTGAGAAGCTTGGCTTAGAACAGGGGTGGGCAAACTTTTTGACTCGAGGGCCACAATGGGTTCTTAAACTGGACCGGAGGGCCGGAACAAAAGCATGGATGGAGTGTTTGTGTGAACTAATATAAATTCAAAGTAAACATCATTACATAAAAGGGTACGGTCTTTTTTTTTTTTTTTTTTAGTTTTATTCATTTCAAACGGGCCGGATCTGGCCCGCGGGCCGTAGTTTGCCCACGGCTGACTTAGAAGGTAGAGAGACAGAGCTGGAACAAGGGGACAACAGGGAGGGAGAGACTTTATGTGCCTGTTTTAGGAGAGAACCTTAGGTACTTACAAGTTGAGATGGTGGAGATGGGAGAGAAGAGCAGATGACAAATGTGAAAGAAAATAACAGATGATGAGGTGTAGGAATCTAGAACATGAGTGCAAGGGATTTGCCTTGAATGAAAACAGAGGCACCTTTTTACTGACACAAGAAGAGGCATACATGGAGATAGATTTGAAGCTGCATGGGGTAACAAAGGGCGGGGGTAGGGTAAGGAGCAGGAAGGTGAAATTTTGTCTTTTTGGTCTTTTCAAAATCAGAGGCCAGACCATTTGCCAAGAGAGGGAGTCAGCAAGGGTGGGAATTTCGTGACTATGATTAGAAAAAAATGTAAAGAACTACCAAACAATCCCATTAAGATTCAGTTTATGGTATATAAATGGCTTTTATGATTTAACACAAGAGGTACAAATGTTAGAATTCCAGATAGCATATTAACCAAAACTCAAGAGTCTCTAAGAGCAAGAACATTTACTTGAAAGTAAACTTCTATTTCCACCTGCACAGGAACACATACCTTAACTTGGAACTAGCCATGACAGAGCATATGTCCATCAGTCATTTATCCTGTAACAATTTGCATTCATTTTGCATCTATATTAATTATCTTTCCTTCACAATGTTATATTGGCAGCACCTAAAAAAACATAAAGAATTAATACTTTTATTCAGTGCCATGTGCCAAACCATTTCACACATATATGTGCTCTGGAGAAGCTAAATAGACTACAAAAATGTGCGATGCCTGGTTGTACATATACAGGGGTTAGAGGGTAGGAAAATCAAGCGGTCCACTTAGGATGTTACTAAAAGAACATATACCAAGACCATCACTGCCATATCAGAGCTGCATTGCTTTCTAGAGTGGTAGTATTTATGAACAGAATACCTCAAGAATCATATATCAAGAAGCTTGTCCAAGTCAGCATAATATAATGTTAAAACAACCACCTTTTATAGTAAATATTAACCTTGTAAGTCTGACCTTCAGTCAGTTGTTCATATGGAAAATAAGACAATAATTAATAAATAAGAATAAGCTGTTTCACGTACTCACAACTGCAAACCTACTTTTGCCCCACCCTGCATAGTAGGTCCAGGCTTCCTCTTGCAGGGACTGCCCTAGAACTTATCTTTCTGCCTGAAGGAAAGCAGAGGACAAGGTGTGGTCTGTGCACAGTAAGGGGTGGGGGGAGGCAGTGCTGCCCTAATCTCACATCAGCTTCTTCAATAGAAATGTCTAGGCAGCAAGTGGGTTTTGGCAATCAGCAGATCAGATAGAAGAGCCTCGCTATACAACGAGGATGTGTAATCTGACATGATTAGACAAGGCTCTTTAGTACCAGAACATTCATAATTGAGACAAAGAAATAGTATTAATAACACTTTCCTAACACGGCAGCTAGCCATTTTATATTTCCTTTCTTTAATCTTAGTGTTTTTCAACAAATCATGGGATTTAATAGCGTGTTTTGGCAGATTAGAGGATTTATGGCCCAGATGTTTTTTGTTCTAAAAATGGATTAGGGTGTAAAGTTTGCTGGAATCCATGGAACATGTTGAGGCAAGCCGGTCATTTTATGTGTGATTAGTGCCTGCCTTCTGTCTCACAGTCCCTCCATCTGTCACCATACACCAATGGATCTGGTTAGATTTAGCCTCATGTCACAAACAAGTCCCTTTTCTGGGCAATATCATATTATAGATTTAGTTTATGCCATTTTATGCCCTAGTTAAAAGATAGGGAGAGTGAAAGATGAGATATTAGCTGGCCTTTCAATATTTGTGAAACAAATCCTTTCTCATTGGTACTCTACCTTAAAATCATGCAGATTATCATAATAATGGGCATCAAATAAAAAAAAAATGACCAGTGTTAAAATTAAGTTAAGAAATGTTTTGCTCCTTACACCTGTTATTCTTTAAAAGACATATTTGGCAGTGTTTTTGTTTGTTTTGTTTTTCTCTTTTTCTAACTCTGGATTGTAGAGCTGCAGATACAGGCTGGTCATTTTACCATCTTATTAAGAGTATGAATTGGGTGACTATTCTTACCAGTAGCCACATTTTTTTAAAATCAAACAATTACAGGTGCTTGGTTACATTCTGTGCTTGAAATTTAGCCTCTTAACTATGACAAGTATGTATCCATAGCAAACCACTGCCACCTGGGGTTTATTTCACTGTAATCCGATTCAGGGCCAAAATGCTCTTCTTTGTCAGTTAATAATGATTTATTTTTCCTTTAAATAACAACCTGGAAGTGCTATGCCCAAACTTTAAATTGGCCTTTTTAATGCTATGAGAGTGTCAGTAATTATAGTGATAATTATCAATATCTGCATTTTGTGGTAACATTAAAAGAAATCTTACATGAAAAGAAATCAAAGATAGGTTTTATTTTTGCACTACAAAATATTCAGATAATTAAAAATAGTTTCTGTAAAAACTATATTTCAAACTTCTTTTCAAGTGTGTGGAAACAGCTACCTTTCACTTAGTATTATGCTTCAATTACAAATGTTTGGCAATATGTTCATGTATGACTTATTCATTCATTTAGACAAATTCCACTGAGAAATTATTATATGCCAGACACCAGCCACTACCCAAAAAAGAAGTGATTGTTATGGTTAAGGTTTCCATGCATTTGTACAAAACATAGTCTTTGTTCTGTTGCATCTTCAGGTTATTTAAATGACCATGATGCTGTCACCAAGGCAATCCAAGAAGCACGGCAGATGAAAGAGCAACTTCGGCGGGAACAACAGGTGCTTGATGGGAAGGTGGCTGTTGTGAACAGTCTAGGTCTCAATAACTGCCGGACAGAAAAGGTTAGTTCTTAAAATACCTGGCTTTCCGAAAACACTTAAATCGCCTGAATGCTTTTCTTCTTTATTATCTTTTCATCTCCTCATCATCTCAGAGTAATAGTCCTCCTCCCTTTTTCCTTTGTCAATACAGAAATCTCCATGTCCATCCGAATCAAAACCAGCCCCAAATAGGCAGGCTTGTATTTCTCTTGTTTTCATCTTCAAACCTTATTGACAGTACCTTTCTCTGCCCTCCATTTGTATTGATATGAAATGGCATTTGAGATAGCTGAATCTTAGGGAAAGTTCTGCTTCCCAGAGATGCTTAACTTGTATTTGGGGATGAGCTGGATTTGAAAATGCTGGATCTTCTTTAACCAGCATAAGCTTGGATGATGCCCATGCTCATAGTCTAAGCATCTAGGATCCTGAGCTGGTCATATGTTTCTAATGCAAAACACTGTCAAGTTTTAGGTGGCTGTAACAGCTGGCAAATTTGACTTTATCATAAAACAAAATGTGATTTTTAAAACTTGGACATTATTCTTCTACCTAAGCCCATTGAAACTTCTGAATTTTTCTGAAATGTGACAATTTTAAACTTGTTTTGTCTAAAATACATTATATTATTTTCAGAAAAATATTATAAGTTCTAGAAAGCTCAAAGTGGTTTACTTCTTGTGGTAGTGTTTGATATGTTTTGAAATGAAATTTTAAAGTGTTTTTGAATCTCCTGTAAACAATCCTCTAGCTATATAGACACAATAGATAAAAGGGGGGAAATGATCAGCTACTTAGCAATAAACTGGGAAACATGAGTCAAACAGGACTGTGCAGAATGAGCAGTTTGCAAATCTGGAGAGGTTCCTGGGTTCCCAGGTTTTATATGGAATTCGATGTATAAACTCTAAATAGCTAGCAATCTGCATAGTGAAGGGAAATATATGCATGACCCTGTCACAGCCGTACCTTTTTTCTGGTCCAAACATGGGTCAAAAGGTGGAAGAAACTCTTTCAAGCCTGTTGTGTTTCTGGAGGGGAGAGCAGATCGTAGGTCAGTCTCTCATTCCCTGCAATCTCACAGTGTGAGAAGGTGCTGGTGCAGCAAGAAGGGGACAACCTTTCTCTAGCTAAGCGCCAGAGAGGAGGCAAAGTGAAGTGACAGCTCCGAGAAGGAAGGGAGGGTCGCAAGCATAAAGGAATTTATATTCAAATATTTAAACATGCTTGAAAGGATGCTTGAACAGAAATCCTTTTTTTTTTTTTTTTTTGCTCCCCATGTAGAAATGAGTTTAACACTCAGCCAGATGCTAATGCAAAGTGACTCGTGCTATTCCTCGCAAGCATAGCTAAATTGCCGTTATTTGTTAAGTGCATTGAATTCAGCTGTGGATACAGCAGTTGGTTGCATTCAGCAAGCATCTGTACCCTTTTTTTTTCTAATCCTCCAAAGCAGAGACAACTCTACCTATCTCCCCCCTCTCCTCCCCTGTGCTGGCTGGGACTTGTCAAGCGACAACCGACCAAATCCTTTTGGACAGGAAGGCTTCATCCCAAGTTCTATATACTTGCAAAACAGGCCTTGTGGTTGGATCAGGGAGCCCATTAAGAGCACTTTGATGGTATGGAAATTCATCTTCATGAAGCTCCTAGGCCCCTAAGCAGCATGCTGTTTAGCTCTGGTTACAGATCAGTCATTCACATCGGAGGGCAATAATTGTGCTGACGGCTTGTAAGGCAATGGTAGTACATAGAATAATCCTGGGCCCTCCACCATGACACTGCGAGTTAATCTTCTCTAATACAGATCAGCTGTTGTTCTAACACATGACTTCATGCAGGCTCCAGTGACTCTGCTCAGCCTTTTGATTAAGTAACAGGAGTGGAACCATCTGCATTCACTTTATTCCATAGTGTCTATTGTTAGGGGTCCTCATTGCCACTTCTTGTTCCCCCTCCACCATCACATTTTATTTTATTTCTCTGATTAGCACCTCCTATTTGAGGTGTAGGAGTTAGATTGCCTCTGTGGAAAGCTACTGCTTTTACTTTTCCTGTCCCTTTTGTGAATTATAATGACTTTTTTAAAGACTATTTTTGAAGGAATATTTGCCAAAATCTGCTGCCCAATTAATATGTCTTCATTCTCAAGAAGGTTAGCATTCCCAAATCTCTTCATCATGCACTTTCGATGCAGTTGAGTTATGTCTTCAATTAAAGTCTTATGTTTTTATGGGGTTTTAAGTGAAACTCTTAAAACATGAAGGCAAGCAGTTCCACTGTTGTAATAATATGGCTAACTCTTGTAATGCATAGGTAAACCTTTTGGCAGGACCCAAACTAGTTCATCCCTTGTTACCCTTGACACCTGAGAATGAACTGAGGTTATTGAACCTCTCTTAGAAACAGGTATTACTGTGGTTGCCTTTTCTTGTTGAACTAGCTTGGGTGTCACTTCCACAATGTCAATGATTGATACTCGTCTGTGCAATTCATGGGACTAAAATGATGTCAAATTTACATATTTAATTAGTAATTATTCAACATTAGCATCTATTATCTATTAAGGATGGGGCTGTGTACTTGAGGTGCTATCTATAATAATGAAAGCGTAATATGCTAATTAGACCAAACATCCTTCTGGTCGACCTTCCAGATGAAGCTGAGGCTGCGAGGACTGAGGTAGCCACTGTAGCAGGCAGGGGCTGGGGCAGAGGAGACGAATTTTGTGCATCAGGCCTCTAGTCCTATCTAATAATAGAGAAACATGGTAATTAACCGTAACTTTGCTACCCTTCCTATTGGCTAATCAGCGAGATATGCAAATTAACTGCCAACCAAGATGGCGGCCGGCAGCCAGGCAGCTGAAGCGAACAGGAGGTTTGCTTGCTCCAGTGAAGGAGGAAGCCAAGGTTCCCTGCCTGCTGCTCCTGGGCTCTGAGCTGCAGTCTAAGAAACAATGTTGCAAATATAGAACCTAAACAAACCCCAGAAACCTGCTTTCAGCCAGCCAGGCCTCAGAGCTGGAGTTGAAACAGTGTTTCAATTATAGAACCCAAACAAACCCAGATACCTGCTTTCAGCAGCCGAGATCTCAGAGCTGGAGCCGGCCTCAGAGCTAAAGCCAGCTCTCAGCTCTAGTGACAGCCATAGAAGTTAAATAAATCCCAGAATTAAAAAAAAAAGAAAGAAAAAAAGGAGAGGTTGGGAGCTTCAGTCACCTGCCAGCATGAAAACGGCCCTCAGCCCCTCACCCAGACTGGCCAGGCACCCCAGTGGGGACCCCCACCCTGAAGGGGGTGTGACTAGCTGCAAACAGCCATCATCCCCTCATCCAGGCTGGCTAGGCACCCAAGCGGGACCCCCACCCTGATCCAGGACAGCCTTCATGGCAAACCAGATGGCCCCCACCCGTGCACCAGGCCTCTATCCTATATAGTAAAAGGGTAATATGCCTCCCAGCACCGGGATCAGCGGAGAAGCGAGGCCTCCTGGCCTCTGGAGCAGCATTACAGGGGGCAGCGCCCAAACCCCCTGATCGCCCTGCGGCTCTGTGTGTGACAGGTGCGGGGCCACAACTTCCCTATCCTCCCTGCTCTGTTCGTGACAGGGGAAGGTGCCCCAACCCCCTGATCGGGCCTGCTCTGTGCCTGATAGTGGGGAGCTCCCCAACCCCCTGATCGGCCCTGCTCTGTGTGTGACAGGATGTGGAGCCCCAACCCCCCATGGGCCCTGCTCTGTGTGTGACAGGGTGGAGCCGCAACCTCCCCATCAGCCCTGCCCTGAGCATGACACGGGGGAGTGCCCCAACCCCCTGATCGGCCCTGCTCTGTGGGTGACAGGGTATGGAGCCCCAACCCCCCTGATGGGCCCTGCTCTGTGCGTGACAGGGGGTGGCGCCGCAACCTCCCCATCGACCCTGCCTTGAGTGTGACAGGGGCCGGCGCCCCAACCCCCCAATCGGCCCTACCCTGAGCGTGACTGGGGGTGGCATCGCAACCTCCAAATCCGCCCTGCTCTGTGCATGACAGGGGGCGGCGCCCCAAATCCCCAATTGGCCCTGCTCTGAGCCCAACCAGGGGCTGTACCTAGGGATTGGGCCTGCCCTCTGCCACCAGGAGCAGGCCTAAGCCAGCAGATTGTTATCTCCCGAGGGGTCCCAGACTGTGAGAGGGCACAAGTGGGACTGAGGGGCACCCCCCCCCCCCCGCCAGTGCACAAATTTTTGTGCACCGGGCCTCTAGTATTTAATAAGAAAATATGTCCTCTGCCTTTATAGTTTTTAGAGTTGAAGTCAAATTATTATTTTGACTGTTAATCATAGCATATTTATGTTAGTAGGCCTACCTATGGGATTAAATAAGGACCCCACATTGCTTAGCATATCAGATCAGTTATATACCTGAGTTGTCAAAGTGCATGCCTATTCTTCCATATAAAGTGACATCACTATACATAGTGGGTATTTCCCTAGTACCTACCTTTTTAATAGATTTTTATAATCACCCAACTTTAGCCATGCCAAAGCATAGGTAGATTAGTAATTGGCTTGACATTTTGCTTCTGAGTTATTTTTTTAAATATACATATATGTGTTGATTTCAGAGAGGAAGGAACGGGAAAGAGATAGAAACATCAATGATGAGAGAGAATCATCAATCAGCTGTCTCCTACATGCTTCCACTGGGCATTGAGCCTGCATCCCGGGCATGTGCCCCAAGAGAATCAAACTATGACCTCCTTGTTCCTAGGTAGATGCTCAACCACTGAGCAACACTAGCTGGACTGCTTCAGAGTTCTTAATGAAAGACAAACAGGGTATATGGTAACTTCTTTTTATAGTTTGCACTATTATCTTCTCATATAATTTGAATCCCATAAGGAGGATTTTTTTTTCTCCCTTAAAACAATACTCCCAATTTTTCAAACCCAGAAGATATGTGAAATGTAAGAAGTGGGTTGCCCTGGCCGGTGTGGCTCAGCTGATTGAGCATCATCCCATGCACCAAAAGGTTGCCAGT